TCCTTGCAACAGGATCTGAACAGACATATACAGATAGTAGCAGTAGTAGTAAAAAGAAATATATTTGCAGACACAGCCATATACAAATGTATTTATTTGTATAGTTATATGACTGGAATATGAGAGTGTGTGTGTGTGCTCGTGTGTATTTTTGTGGAGATTTATTAACGATAAGACATTACTGAATAAATACATATAAAGTACATATATACTCAAATAATCACAGGTATGTTTGTTTGTGTGAATGTTTTCACATGTGTTGTTGGTAGTGGCAAAAGGAAATAAATATTTTTGAAACAAAAATATATCCCCCAAATGGGGTCATAAATTGTCCAAGAAATATATGTATGTATATGTACATAGGATAAACAAATAAAATAAAGAGAAGGGTATTATTAAAGTGACCACAACAAGGTGAAAGGAATAGAGCTGAGGTGGGAGGAAGTTTGGAAGAAAATATAGAACTCTTTAAGAAAATAACTGCCGGGGAGATAAAACTACACAATTAATATCATATATCTAAGAATGGAATTTCGGCTTATATTTTTGTTTTCCTTGAATGTCATGGATCCAATAGAATTATTTTTCTTATATATATTTTTATGTAAAATTTGTCTTATTCAAGGACAGATATTTATTTACCCTATATAGAGAAGTCTGATTGTATTACTTCTAATGTTGGAATTTTAAATGCCCTTTCGATACTGCGAAGTTACCCGATTCCTATAGATTTGCTTCCCATTCAAATTAGAATAGTTTCCGAGAATCGAAAATCTATAAACCTACCAGATTAGTTACATTAAAAATATGTATGCAAATGCCTGTCTAAATAGAGACTTATTATCGTCAGAACATTTCCTGAAAATTTTGAACTAATTTCATTCGAATAAAAAATATTAAAAACTGATTCGTTTGATTTTTTTACAAAATAAGGACCTTCACTTAATAACTGTAGGTTATGATTATTTATGGAAAATATTTATTTATTTGCCTATACCTCTGGAATTGTGGTCTGATTTTTTTATAGAAAAAAAAAATCCTTGTATTTTTCGAAACCCTTGTTATTGTTCATATTGTGGTGATACTCGCACAAATCACAAGTAATATTTATTTTATTGATTGGCCGATTTTTATGCTATCCTTTCTTGTTTGTGGTAGAGGAAACAGAAAGGAATAGCCTTGTAGGGAGTTGCAAATTGTATTTATTTTGATTTCTTCACACAAAACCAACAACAGCAAAACAAAAAGGACAGAGAATTTTCAATTAGAGAATTTTTTTCAAAAAAAATTAAAAAAAAATGATCTCAGATGTTTGATATGTGACAATAAAAAAATTTTATACTATCTTAAGAAAATACTCCACAGTTCTAGAAATGAATTTTCAATTGAAATATTCCTAAGTAAGAATATTGTTTTATTAATTTATTTTAAATCATATTTTTTTCAAAAAATCATTGAACTCGATAAAATAATAAACTAATGCCTTTGAACCAAATATTTTCGTTTTTTTTTTTTTTAAAGAAGAAAATCGTTGCTCCTAAAAATATTTTCAATAACATTTTGGGTGTAAAGATATTTTTCTACAGAAAGAACTCTAATTGGGAGAATTAAAATCACGTTACAGCCCGCAATATTTAAAGCATTTGGTATTGAAAATTGGGTATTATATATATATATATGTCCATGTTTTATTTGGATTTTCAATGAGTGAAAAACGAAAGCTCGCAAATTCTTGCCGTTTTAGGACATTTTGACTTATTTCAACCAAATTGGCACCAATTTTGTAATTTTTGGGATTCTCATTAGGTAGTAAATTTCCCCCACAATATTTACTCAAGTTTCAGGGCAAGCTCCTTGTAAAGATACCGGCCAGTATTGGGGATTTTTAGATATTTAAAGTTTGCATTGGGTGTTAAATGTGTCTACCAAAATTTTACCATGGCATAGCTCCCATATGACAGTGCCAATTAACCCGAATAGTGCTGTAATTATTATTATTTTTTTTTCGAATTGTGGGACGAAACTTTTAGCGTTTCTAGATTGTGGGCCACTAAATTAAAAAAAAATGATTTGTATCTCTTTTTCTTATCAGGATAATCGACAGGATCAATTTTTGGGCTGTGGCCGTACATTCACACTAGCACTGCTCGGGTACAGGTTTTCTAGATAATTTATTGAACAAACATATTCCTGAGGCTTCATTTATTTCTACTCAGTTATTTATTATTTAAAAATCTTACTATATTCCTAATCTAAACTCAAATATCAGGATTATTTTGTTAAATTAAAAACATTCTCCTTCACTGATGATTCGTGTTTTATCTTTTATAAGAATTGTTTTAGGGAAATATTGTCTAGTATCTGATGACATTTTTTATAAAACTCACATTCTACTACTTATTTAATTTTTTGCATGAACGAACAATTCTGCATCTTTTAAAATTTATTTATTTTTTTTTTCTTTGAAAATTACTATAGAACAAAAATGGATGTTCATGAGTCTTGATTTTTTTCAATTCAGTTATTTATTTTTCAATAACAAGCAAGTAGACACATTTTTCTAACCTAACCTCAAATTTAGTGATTGTAATAGTATTATTTTTTTATTAAAAAAAAACCCTTTCACTGATGACCTATTTTTATAAGATTTATTTTGTTGCGAAGTATTGTTGTCACTGAGGAAATTGTTTTAAAGAAAAAACTAACCTCACATTCTGTTATTTGTTTTTTTTTTCTATTGAAAAATCGGTTTCATGAATGACTTATCTTTTATAACAAACTAATGGTCAGTCTCTGAGTACAATTTGTTATAGAAAAACCTAACCTCACATTCTGTTATGAATTTGATTTTTTTTGCATTATGTTGCAAATATTCTTCTTGTGATTACTTTTTTTAATGAAAATTTCTATAGAACAAAAATTGTCCTTCATATAATTTTTTTTTATTCAGGTATTTATTATTTTCAGAAAACCGCTGTGCGAAAACTTTCTCTACTCATAACCTAACCTTAAATTTAGTACTTCGATTTTTTTTCCAAAGTGGAGTGTATTAGGATTATTTTTATCTATTTGAAAATTCTCTGTAACAAGATGACTAATTTTGTTTATATAAAAATAATAATAAGTGCCTCAGAACACAATTTGTTATAGAAAAACCTAACCTAGCTTGTGGCATGATGGAAAAATTCTGCATTTTCTGATTTTTTTCATTGAAATTTTCTATAGAACAAAAGTGTCTGTTCCTAAGCCTTGATTTTTCTCAATTCAGTTATTTATTTTTTGAAAACATCTGTACGAAAACATTCTCTAATCCTAACCTCAAATTTAGTGTTTTTTTTTTTAAATGGAGTACACCTAAGTCTGTTTATTTTACACGGTAGATTGGTTCCAGAAGAAGCCGTGTAAAAAAAACGGTGTAAAAAAGACATTGATCTTATATATAAAGGGAATTCCCTTAAATTAGTGCTATTCACATTTGCTTTGACCAGTAAAAATTGTTTGTACGCGCCAAAGGGGAATTCACTTAAATCTTTAAGCTAGTGTACGCAAACTATCGATACTGTCGATGGTTTAAGACTTTTTTCTTTCATAAATACTTTTTTGTGATATGAAAATACTTCGAAAAAATTAAATTTGTCAAAAAAATTTAAGTACATAAAATTTCATAAAAAAAATATAGAAAAACATAACCTCAAACTTAGAAGATGCAAAATTGTTCCTTATAGCCAATAAGGAACAATTTTGCATCTTCTGATTATTTTTTTATTGAAAGAAGTCCTTTTTCACAGAAAAATAGGATTTTTTATAAAAAAAAAATCGTTGGTAGCTAATGTACATTTTTTCCTATAAAAAAATACCAGTCTATGAGTACTTCTTTCTATATAAAAAAATTTAATTCGTAAGATTAGGTATGAAAACTTAAAACGGATTTTTTATTAAAAAATTTTTTTGTGGATAAAAAAAATCTGTCACTGAGGCCGATTTATTATTTTTAAAAAAGAACCGACTTACTTTTTAATTTTTCATCAGTTTTTTTCTAAACAAAAATAAACCTTCACATTAAAAAAAAATAATTTTTTAGGTAATATGCAAATACACCCTAAAGTATTTTTTATTAAATCATCGCCTTTAGTTCTGATAATCCTATAAAAAAATGCGAAAGAATATCTAAAAATTAATTCAAAACACGCCTATAATTTTAATAACTCTAAAAAATATTTTGTAACAATATTACAAATAGGTCAAATATCTCCTAAATTTTAAAGGGACAATAAAACCCCTCCTAAAGCTCTTCAAAAATTACCCGATTATACCTTATTCCTAAAATGCCGAAAAATCACAAATTTAGCTCTGATAATTGCAGAAAAATCGTTCAGATATATCCCATAAAATAAAAAATCCACGTCTAAAGCTCTGAGGACCATAGAAAAATATTCCTGAAAAATTATATACAAATTCAATAGAAAAGAATTTAGTAGAAAATTCCTAAAAATCAAAATAGGACTAATAGTTCTGATAAAAAATAGATGTTCTCTGACCTGTCTATAAATTTTTAAAAATTCGGAAAATTAATAAAAATAAGTTCCTAAAAATATTCTTAACAAATTATCAAAATATTCTCCAGGTACCATTTTCAATGTTAAGACCATGAACATTTTTCCACAGGCCTTAATCTGATTTTTTATTTAAATCATTATTATTTTTTCTTTTTTTGAAAGCTATTTTTCTCCCTTTCCATAGGATTTATGTTTATTGAATCTTTTTTCAGTCCGAGTTTTTCCACATTCTATTTTATAAAAAATCTAAGTTTTATTTTCTAGACGTGCCCTTGCATTACCGTTTATGGATCATGGTAGTTACGATGCTATTTTATATTATGGGAATTTGAGATCCCCATAATCTATTCACAATCTATTATCACACACATTACACTTCCACATAGGGTAACTCACCCTTAACACACTTCTATTATTATCACAGTATTTGTTTCCAAAACTTACCTTTTGTGCCTTGCAAGTCGTTGTAATCGGCTGGACTTCGTGTTGTGGATGACGTTGATCATTGATGCAATCAGCACAGGCTGGAATCTTACAAGTTAGGCAGTACATTGACAAAACCTCTTCATGTTCTCCGCACACTGATTCTCGCTGCTGGGCAGCTCCTTTGGGCTTTACCAAATTGTGTTTGGCCAAGGGACCCCTCGCTGGATGACACAGCTCCCGACAAGCGTCACAATAACGTATTTCACATTGTTCACAGACCAATGATGCCACTTTGGGATCTGTTTCACACATCTGGCAACGTAGAGCCTCACGGGCGCAGAAACGATCGACAATCGATTCCATGGCACGATAGGGTGGCAGATTGCGAACACCACCTTCGTCAAAGAAAACAATTTTACGGCAAAGAGGACAGGTTAGACTGTAAGCGGCACCGGGGGGAGCTGAGGCAGCAGCACCCTGCAAAAGATTGGTAATGTGTCCGGTACCGGCATATGACACAGGCCGTGAGGTGTTCGAACAGCAAACGACACCTGAGTCAGCTTCACTCAAAATGCTAACTTTATCCGATTGATCTTGATCTGAGGTTACGGATTCAGTGCCCGTGGCGGAGCTGGTTGTACTGGCAGCTGAACTGTTGGATGAATGTCTGGTTGATGGATGTGTGTGATTGTGGGGATGTGAATGATGGGGACCACCAGCAGCTAGACCCGATGGGTGGGGATGGACTGTGGCGGCAACACTGTGTAAAGTACCACCATTCAACGAGGAAGAACCACCGCCTGTGACGGAAGCTAAAATGGCACCCGGTGTATAGGGTGTCTGTATATCCAAAGCACAGCCCAGGCAAAGGGCATGGAAGCAGGGCAATAAAACCGGATTAGCAAAAAGTTGTTTGCAAGTGGGACAACGTAATTCGTCCTCCATAATAAGACTGTTTTTGTGGGGGGTTGGGGTTGAGTTGTGGGTTGCGGGAGAGATGGGTTTTGGAGATCCTTTTTTTCAACGATGATATTCAAAATTCCAATTCAATTGCTTCAATTGTCGGTTTTAGCAGTTATTTGAACATTTTCCTGGAGGAAAATTTTTTCTTAGATTTTTTTTTTGAAACACTTTTCAAATTCACAAATTTTCAAAAATTCACTTAAAAATAATTGACATTCAAAACTTTATTTTAATTTTTTTTTCCTTCTTCGAATGTAAAGTAGAACTTTCCAATTTGAATTTCGGGTAGAAAATTACTTTGAATTATTTTTAGTTGGGGTTTTCACTTCGTTTTAATCAGCCGGTAACTTTGTTTTCGTTCTCACACTTTATCACCGAATTCTACTGATAAGATATTTATTAGATAGTTATGTTTAATTCTCATTCACTTCAATACTGTCGGTAAATTATCTTTCACTTCAAACATAAATGGGAAATACACACAGCTGTTGTAGTTACTTTTAAATTTCCACTCCAATATTAATTTTTTCAATAATTATTTTATTTTTAGATTTTTTTAAATATTTTTATTTCACTTTTTTCTTCAAAATTTTTATTCATATGTTTTGTTACTATTTTTCAAATAAATATTTAAAAATTTCGATTTTTATTTATTTCAACTCCAATTTCATTCAATTTCCGATTTTAATTCTTTTTAATTTTCATTCAAAACTATTTCCAAAATTTACTCAATAAATATTCTCAATTTTCGTATCGAACCAATTTCATAAACTTCTTCTGTTGCTGTAGCTCTTATTTGAAACTCCACTGTAAACGACCGTTGTTGTTTTTGTTGTGTATTCTGTATGTTCACGATTTCGACGCGCGTAGATTCCGCTCGTACGACCACTTTCCACGAATTCTCAAGCTAAACTAAACGTTCGTTTGCGACATGCCCGGCTGTTTGGTGGTGGTTATTCGGCAATTGCTTAACATTGTTTGTTATTGTTTGGTGCTATCGAACATGTTGTATAGTGGTAGTTGGTTGCGACATGTTTTGTTGTGGATTGTTGAATGGGCATCCAGTGATAAACCCAAAGAAAAATGTTAAGGGAAATCTGAAAAGAAAAGGTTGAATTAAAAAAAAAATATTTTTCAAAGAAAACCACAACTATAATTGCGGATTTAAAAACAAGTAAAAACTTTGTTTCGTTCGGCTGGTTTATCCTTTACCATGAGGGGCAGGGACGTACGCCCCGAAATTTTTGTTATTAATAAGTTTAGTTTGGAAACATAATATTTTTAATTCCACTAGAATTTTCATTTTTTCATTTTAATTATATACCCTTCAATGCACTGTGGTACAGGGTATGGACGTACGAAAGGGACCGACCCCTTGTATAGCATATTCAGATTTAGCAAAGGGTGCTTTTTGTAAAGACGACATCTTATTTTCAAATAAAGGAGAGTTCGGAAAGGGCAACCACTAAGTCCCAAAATTTCTTCTGTCGCACTGTCTTAAAAAATAGAAAGATGTTATCGAATGCTTTACCGCCCACGAACAAAAAGGAATACCACAAAGATGTGATTCAGAACTTTATATCGAGATTGATAGATGGTTAAAACGTTATAGACAAACAAGCTTTCGATATATTAAAAGAACAAAAGTATAAAGTTGAAGTGGTTATTGACTCAATTTTATTGCGAAGATGGTAGGACATCGCCAGGGGGGGAAGTGAAGACTCCATAATACTTCGTTAGACTTAGATAATCCGAATGAGGTAAAGTTGGGTCTTGAGCCCCAAAATACAGAACGTGTTAATAGAAATAATTGGACAATACATCCAGAAGTCTATTGTTTTTGAAGTGAAAAGTACTGTATTCTTCTCGGTTTTAGCGGATGAAACGACGGATATTCACTGAAAACAGCAGCTATTAATATGTATAAGATTTCTGACAAAGTATCTAAAAAAGTCAATGAATGTACCTATGGGCTATACCCAAAATCTCAAAAATCGAATAAAAATCCAGTGAGCCGAAGCAGCATTTGATACCGTACAAAACTACTGCGGATTTTGAATTATCTGCGAATCTATACCCCCAGCCTGAGCGATATTTCGCAGTACTCCACATCTATATTCTCTCATATTTTACGTATTGGTATCAATTTAAAGGTCAAACACACTTCTTGGATGCTTAGAATGAAAATTTAGCTATTTTTCACAAAAAGTCTGGGTTGACCGATTAGCTTGCTTAATCCTAGGACCAATATTTCGCAGCGCTCCAACTCTCGAAGCCACAGAAATCTACAATACTCTTAAAAAATAGTTGTGTAGGGTATACAAATGCTCAAAATATGTATCAAGACATATTTTAAGAATGAGAATCCAAAATATAAAACCAGTGAGCGGAGCAGTATAGTCGGACGGGACCGACCATATGATACCCTAGACAACTACCACGGAAATCTAACTATATGTGGTTCTATATTCTGAGCCAAGGCAATATTGCGCAATATTTGCACCCTCTTGAGCGATTATAAGTCAACAGTTCCACGTTCTAATCCTGGCATATTTTCCAAATCTTGTTTTCCCGAGCAATGTATTATTGCAGACGAAGTTTCTCGAGAGAGCGCAAGTTCCTCCATACACTTTGTGTCTGTGTGTGACCAAACAAATGCATATAAATATGTTGCCGAGCCATGCTCTAGAGCGACATGAAAGTCTGACCAAAAATAAAGTATTCGGTTCATTGCACACCCTAAATACCGAAAATAATAGACGTCGTCCATGACCACAGCCGGAAATTCATTTAAAATTGCAAAGTGATTTGCGCGAAATTTCATTCTTCACACAAAAGTCTGTGTCCATTTGACCCGCTAAATATTGACTGATCTTCATCAAAACAGTTATTATGCTTATTCTTTGTTCAGATTCCGTTCCTCTGAAACGACCAGAAAAACAGACATAAATAAATATTTTGGTCCATCTGATCACCTGAATATTATCATTACCAAAAACCATGGGGGTATTCTTTGCCCAAATTTCGTGACGATTGGTTCCTAACGTCGACCTGTATCGTGTTTGCAAATTATAATGGACAGACCCTTACAACATAGTTGTAAGGGGTATAATTAAAGGATAAATTATTGTTGTCGAGTTGAAATTCGACCGCGTAGGAAAAGATATCGAGGGCAAACGATCTTATTCGAAAAAATATGTGTTGCATATACATGTCAGGGTCATATGTACTAGGACAAAAGAGTGCTAAACACACAACGGATCGGATTCCCAGCAGAACAGGAATCGCCCTCGAATGAACAATTGTTGAAGCTTATAGGGCCAGTAAATCAGTTTTGGGAAATGCGTCGTAGGAGAGAATTTTCCCTGCATAATGTGGTGCGAAATAACTATATACCAAGGCGTACTGCTAAAATAAAATTTAAGACTACCTATGAAATGAGCG